TTATATATTGATATTTATAGCCTGTGCTATGTTCTTCAAAGTGAACAACAAATGACGTAAGCTGTTTCTGTTCAAATCGTTTTCATAATATACACTAGATGGCGCACTTCTCTCACACACAAAAATCACTCATTTAAAGAGACAGTTGACTCAAAATGAAATTTACTCATCATTTACCCACACTCAGGTGGTTCCTGAACTTTATTAATTTATCATTTTTTTTCAGCTGAATACAAGCATAATTATTGTGAAAAACGTCGGAAACTGAAAACGGTGGTAATTGATTTCCATAATAGGAGAAAAATATATGGAAGTCAATGGTAACCAGGTTCCAAACATTCTCCTAAATAACTTCTTTTGTGTTCAGCAGAGGAAAGAAACTCAGTAGTTTTTAACAAGTGAAGGGTGACTAAATGGTGAGTGAATTTTAATTTTTGGGTGAACTATCCCTATACTATTCAAAACATGTCTCAATGACAGTATTCCTTCATTAATTTTCCTTCGGTTTAGTTCCTTATTTTTCTGGGGTTGCCACAGCGGAATGAACCACCAACTACAGCATACAGATACCACCATGTCCCCTCAAAGCCATCAAATTGGTGAAAAAAAATGTGATCATCATTGTGATTAATATATATTGATGCAAAACAACTGTCTACTTCCGATCTGTATTTAAAGATTTATGATCACACAAAAGCAATTTTAAAGGCTCATTGGGAAAAAATCATTAATACAATGAAATACACTGTTTTAATGGTGAGACCCACCTAAACATTGTTCAGCGTAACTATATGTTCGGTTTAAACTGTCAATTTAAATCTTTAATAATCAAATAACTAGTAATAATAAACTATTAAAAGTTATTTAAAAAAACTTATTTTGATCACAATGTTAAACTTATGACAGTTAAAAATTACAAAAAGTGACAGTTAATTCATATTTGGGGACTACAAAAAACAAAAATATATAATTTTGAACAAGATTACATGGGACAAAACAATGTTGAATATTGTGCAAGAGAGATGCTAAATGCTTAATATTGTGCAAGCGTTATTTAAGACTGAAGCAAGCAGTGCAACATGATTGTGGTAATAAAATCATAAGAGAGAGGAGTGTTACTATGGGTAATTAGGCAATTCACAATTAGGCAATGTAAGATGGGGTAATTAGGCAAGTCATTGTATAATGATGGTTTGTTCTGTAGACAATCAAAAAAAAAAAAAACTGTTGCTTAAGGGGTTAATAATATTGACCTTAAAATAGTTTTAAAACATTTAAACTGCTTTGATTTTAGCCAAAATGTGATATTTAAGACTTTCTCAAAAAAAAAAAAACTATATATATATATATATATATATATATATATATATATATATATATATATATATATATATATATATATATATATATATATATATTTATTTATTTATTTATTTATATATATATATATATATATATATATATATATATATATATATATTTATATATATATATGTATATATATGTATGTGTATATATATATATATATATATATATAAATATAATAATATATTATATAAGTAATATAATATAATATACTTATAATATATATATAAGTATAAGTAATATATAAGTCATTTATAAGTATACAATTTAAAAAAAAGTTTTTTTTAGTATTATTATTATTATTATTATTAAAATTTATATAGGTTGATATAGGTTGTACTGTTCATAGACTGGTGACGCAGTGGTGCAGTAGGTAGTGCTGTTGCCTCACAGCAAGAAGGTCACTGGTTCGAGCCTCGGCTGGGTTAGTTGGCGTTTCTGTGTGGAGTCTGCATGTTCTCGTTGAGTTTGCGTGGAATATTATTATCAAATAATATTGTTGCGAGTACATGCAGTACCAGTACCAGTGAATTGGGTATAGGCTAAATTATCCGAAGTGTATGTGAATGCGAATGTGTGTGGAAGTTTCCCAGAGATGGGTTGCGGCTGGAAGGGCTTCCGCTGCATAAAAACGTGCTGGATAAGTTGGCGGTTCATTCCGCTGAATTAATAAAGATACTAAGCTGACAAAAAAATGAATGAATGAATGCTCATAGACTGCATTTATTACAGTCCCCAAATATAATGAACTGTCACTTTTTGTCATTTTTAATTTTTAATTGATTTTGTTTCTACACATTATAATGCACAGAGAAAAAATAAAGCAGCAATACGCTTTTATTGTTTTAATGAAAACTTTCTTTTACAAATACTATGTTTATAGCACACCGTTATCCTTCTTCTCACTTCAGCACTGAGTGTCTTGTGTATTTAAGAGAAAGAAGGTTGTCAATGTCTTGCTGCACCTAATTAAACACACAACAGCTCTTTTAGCTTGTCAAATACACAGCAGGGGGAAACGTGGGAATGGGGCACCTTAATGAACCCTTAAGGGCTGTGATAATAATACACTCTATAAAACAATAAACTTCTTTATTCAAGTCTCACATTTCAGCAAAACAGCCAGAAAGTGCTTTACTGTTCAGTTGTTGTCAATTTGTAAAATGTAATTTTCCCCATATTTACCACAGGTTTTCAACAACAGTTGATACAGATGCCATATTGCCTTGTGATGATGAGTTTGTTTTTTCATTCATCATTTGCAGTCAAGCGTTGTTATTATTTTAATGTCAGTGCCATGGCATTTCTCTTCTAGCTTTTCTTATTAATGATTCAGAAAGATTAGCTTAAGCTCACAGCTCACCATTTCAATATTTCCAGAAGCTGGTATAACGAGTGAGACTAGAAAGACCACCAAAATGTTGCAGATATTAATAAAAACAAAATCTATTATATTTCTGTAGTGCATATAGTGCATGTATATGGTGCAAAACTTTGTGCTTTTGAATGCTTTGGTTATGCAGTTTGTCAATAAAGTTATTTAAATTTTGAAAAGTTGTCATTCTTTTGTTTTAGAAAGAAAGAAATTTTATTTAATTAATGTTTATTTGTACTGCGATTTTACAATGTAGATTGTGTTAAAGCAGCTGAACACAGAAGTTCTAGTAAATTGAAACAGTGTCAGTCCAGTTTTCAGAGTTGAAGTTCAGTTTAGTTCTGTTCAGTGTGGTTTAATTCTCACTGCTGAAAGTCCAAACATTGAGGAGCAAATCCAACGCTGCGCAGCTCTGCAAGTCCCAAACCAAGCAAGCCAGTGGTGACAGTGACGAGAAACATAATTCACCAATTGATGAGAGTAAAGGAAAAAAACCTTAAGGGAGACCAGGCTCAGCTTGGCATGACCATTTCAAGATTTTAAATTCTTGAACAGAGCTGCAATCTAGGCGCTGGAGGTTGAAGAGCGCTGGACATCCATTGTGGAGAACTACAGGTATGAGTAGGTCCCTGGAAGATGTTCAGGCTGGACCACGGGATCAATACCATCTGCTCAGGATAAGGCCTGGTCCAGGATTATGGACACCTCCATAAAAAGAAAGAAAGAAAGAAAGAAAGAAAGAAAGAAAGAAAGAAAGAAAGAAAGAAAGAAAGAAAAAACAAAAAGAAAGAAAATAAGAAATGATTGTGAAAATGTTATCAAATAATATTGTAAAGGCAATGTTTTTAATAAATGTGTAGTTTATGTTGTTACATTACAGAGCTCAGCATAAATAAGATCACCAGCTTTTGAAAATGCATCTTTTTGTCAATATCTCAGTGAACATATCTTTGAGCTGCATTTAAATGGAAGAGTTACATTTATTTCGAGTTTAGTAATTTATTAAGGAATTCAAGAATAATTAATTTAAATTCAAATGAGTTGTTGCAAAAAAAAATGCAAACAATTATATTTAATGTTTCTCTTGATTTTTCCTGTCTATTACAAGTTTTTTTTTTTTAGTTAGACTGGGTCCAGTTTCGGCTTTGGTACTCATTCATTGTATTTTATTGTAAAGCATCTTATAGAAAATATTCATTTAAAGGGGAGCTCTGTGAGGGGTGTTCTCGTGTTTTTCAAGTATAAAAATACATTTCACTCCAATTCATACAGTTATGAATTAGTATGTCATCGGTTATCAGTGATGATATTTTTAACAAATTAATACATTTTAAAATAATTAATATTAAATTTGTCTTATCACAATTGCACAGACGGATTATGTTTGACTGATGTATGTAAACTTGATCAACAAACACAAAAAATGTGAGTATTCATTTGTGGTCGCTGAAATAAAAGATATTTTTAATACTTGTGAAATATTTAATGCTGAAATAAACTGATTTAAAAAGTAAAAAAAGAAGTTCAGCCAAGCATAAAATAACCTAAAATTTTAGATAGTTTTTTTAGGGGTTTTCATAGCTTGTGCATCAAAGGGTTAAACTTTGTATTTATTTAATATGAATTTATTCATCACCACATTGTTTTTTTGATCTATTGAAATTTTGAAAATTATAATAATATTTTACTGCCTCTTTCCACCCAAGTCAATATATATAACAATATAACAATATATATTGGGTTACTTTGCGTTACTTAGTTAATTTTTAAGTATGTGAAATGTTAAAGTATGTGTTAACTTATTTCTAAGTAAGTTATTTTTTAGATTGAAAATGCAATATATATATATATATATATATTGTTATTGCTATAATATATTGTAAGGTAAAAATAATTCATCCCTCTATATATATATATATATATATATATATATATATATATATATATATATATATATATATATATATATATATATATAATCTTTTGTTTACCCAACACTGCTTTTAAGCATTAAATAAGTATACATGTTTGGTCAGCGTTAGACAGATCTATTTCCCTAAAAGGAGTGATTTGACAGCTCTGTTGGTGATGAGTCGACTCTTTTGGATCTTTGTGGAATCCAGCATCGACTCTTTCCTCTCGCGAGTCGCGGCGCTGCCAATCGCAGGCGAGTAGAGTAGAGTAGAGCAGCCTGGAGTCGAGTGTAGTGGAGTTGTGTCCCTGTGGCCGCCATTAAAGGATGCGACCAATGTATTCAAACAAACCAGTGAGACACAGCTGAGCGCTGCACGGCACAGCCTCTTTTAACTGCGCTTTTTAATCCACGACGCTACACTTTTTATCACCAACTTCTTCGCGAATGGCCGTCAACGACAGCCCGACAACGACCTGAAGAGGAGAGTGTGATTTTAGCGAGATTTACAGCTGAACTCTTCTGTCTTGAACTGTTTGTTGCTGCCTCGCTTAGCCAAGGCTAACATCCAGCTAGCCTGATGCTAGGCTAAGCTAAAGGGGGAGGGCTGAATTCACCTCCCTACCCCCTCGGACTGCTGTACTTGCATATTATTTAATGTAGCGAAATCCGCGGGGAGAACAGCATATCTCGCCGCGGATCATGGTAAAGTTTTTAGCGCATTTTTCTTGGTAACGTAAGCGAGTAACCTCTAGCGGAATAATAGCGGAGCTAAGCTAATTAGCTCGCTGGACGCGGAGCCGTCCTGCTGATTGTGTCCGAGACACGGAGACCCGGTCCAAAAGCCTCGATCGCATCATCTGTTCCTGGGATCTGAAAGAGAGGATGGCTCGCCGGACTGCGCTTTGATGATGAGTTCTTGTTTTGTACCCAACGGGGCGAGCCTGGAGGACTGCCACTCCAATCTATTCTGTCTGGTAAGAGATCAACTGACTGTGGGCCAGAAGCCATTTTTAGCCGGCCAGTCAATCAAACAGAGGCCTGTTGCTCTTTATACGAACTAAACACCCGCTTTATAAACGTATGTTAGGCGTTCAGGTGTGTTATGGTGTTGTGTAAACGGAGGTTTGCGTGTGGGATGCGGCTTTGTTGTGTTATTTGGGTCGTGTTTGCTAACGTTGGTAAACACTTGCTGAACTTACTGACTGGAACAAGTAGTTGGCATGAAGTATCTCTGAAGTGGAAAAACAGCTTCAGGGAAAGTGATGATGTACAACAGCAGCAGTGCAAAATCAAGACGCTGCAAGCATAACAATTGGTTATTTTGAGATTTCTTTCATAACCACTACTTTTCAGTTTTTATCTCGTCGCAAGTGTCTTTTAGTTCTCATCTACAAAACATTTTCCTCTTAGAAGGAGTCTGGATTTTTTAGTTCAGTAGCACTTGCAATGACTAAACTTTCCCAATTATATTCTTATCCTTTTTATAGCTTTGAGAGAGAGATTTATTTATATAGTCTATAGTAGCCAGATTTTTATATATATATATATATATATATATATATATATATATATATATATATATATATATATATATATATATATATATATATATATATATATATATATATATATTTCTTGGTTTGCTTATGGAGTGGTAAAAATATAAATTTGTAAATAAAATTATGACATAAAAGGTAAATATTTACGTGATGTTGTTTGCATGTTTTGATCATGTGTTTCATCACTTGTTTACAAGTCAAATTTAATTTGAAAAAGTGTTAATATTTTTTTACAAGAAAAATATAGTATTCACAATAACATGATTTAAAGCACAGATGCTCAATGTATGACCTGCGGGCCAAAGCTAACCTTTGATTTGGCCCACCATTCCATCTGAGAATGATAGAGAGGGTTGGGGCAATGCCATTATTAGAGATCCTCATTTTCTAATTTGATGAAGAGATGGACGATATTGCAATAAAATGATCACAACATGTCCGTGTCACATGCTCAGTCAGCTACATTTTAATAAAAATGTAGCGCTTCATAACAAAACTTCATACCAACCTTATTTTATCAATATTGACAGTGGTGTTCGGTCGATAAATAATAATTTTATCGCCCAGCCCTAATTTAACATAACTCTTTTTGTTTGTTTTATTGCTTGGCCTTTTTCAAGTAAACTGGAAATAAATGTTTAAATTAAATGTAAATGAATCTAAGTTTTTAAAATGTAAATACTGTCACACGATGAATAGAGGGCCATGAAGAATGCATCGGCGAGCAAATCAAGGCATAAACTAGTGTAACTCCATTCTTTTATAAATTTGATTTTTTTAGTTTTTACTGTAATAAGTTCATATATACAGTATAAACTGTACTAGTTAATATAAAGCAATGTTTTTTTTTTTTTTTTTTTCAAATATTGTTACATTAATTAGGAAATTACCCATGGCATCTATATTTACCTTTGGCCCACTAATAAAGTTTGGATTTCGACCCTTCATAAGAAAAAGTTTGGGCACCTCTGATTTACAGCAATATCAAGAAACTGAAATATGTACACATTTGCATCTTTGTGAGAAATTGTAACATGATTTCCCTTAGTTAAATAAGAATATTATTAGAACTAACATTTATTGTTGGACAAGCAAGTGATGTAAAAGTTCTGATTTTAAAAAGTATGTATTTGATCATATAGCACTGATGCATCACCAAAAAGAAGCAGGAATTTTAAGCTGACTTTGTTCAGATTTTTGTTTTAAAATGATTTCATACAAGTTCATTTATGCATATAAACTTTATTTGCACAACTCTGTCATTTCAGAATACTTGTAATGCAAAATCTGTCTTAATGTACTGTAATCTACTGTGTATGGCAATATCTGCTAGTTTAAGGATAGTTTGTTATTAAAGTGTAAACAGTTGAGGTATTGCCTGTCATTAGGTTGTTACATCCTGATTTAAACTGTCTATGAACTTAACAACAACAACAACAGATGATACTAGACAATTTAGCATAGTTTGTGCTTTGTTTTGTCTGTCATGAACTAAATACCTGCATTGGTTAAATAGTAAAGTAGGTTGAACTTTGCATGCATAATGTGCAAAAATGTACGACTCATTTTCCTATTTACACTTATGATGGTTTCTTCAATTCATAGTTGTAGATTAATCTGTGAACTAAGAATTCATGACAAGCTTCCTGTCAGTCTGCCTTTTTTTCACTTCCTCTTTGCACCAGGCTCTCATATTTGTATGGTCATATTGGATAAATTGCTAACATTTAATGTAACCAGGTCAGACTGTCAACTTGTTTGAAGTGACATTTTATGCAGATTAGTTATGTCATCTTGTCATTTGGGGTTTTAAAAAGATCATTAATTATTGATTTGATTTGATATTGAGATATTGCATTGTTATAAATGATTTATCAATGCACTTTATTATAACGTAAATTAAAATTCACACAACCTCATAATATTACCTTCCTTTCCAACCACCTGACTCATTCACTGTCACTTATTGATATCACAGCAATAGCACCCCAATGAGAGTGATCCATGGATTCAGTTAATTCATTCTCAATGGGCAAATTCATGTCTCAGACCAATTTTTTTTAGTTTCGCTAGGAAATAGGGCTGCACATTATATTGTTTTAGCAGTATAATATATATATGTATATATATGTATAATATATATATATATGTATATATATGTATAATATATATATATATATATATATATATATATATATATATATATATATAAATGTATAATATATATATATATATATATATATATATATATATATATATATATATATATATATAAGATATAATATATAATATTGCAATGTCATCATTCGCTATAGTCACATCGCGACTGCAATGTTGAGTCTGGATTACAATTTATCTTTTTTTAATGTGTTTTTTTGAGGCCTGTGACTCTGTGGGGGTTTTAAAAGCATTCAGGCATTTAAAAGTGTACTGTTTGGTTAATTTAACTGTGAATTTTATTTTATTGCTTTGTTTATCAAACGGAGACTATGCAGTATTATTTTATATTTGATTATTCAGTTACTGTATACCTGAATACATTTCGACTCTTCGGAAAACAATAAAACACTGTTTGTTGCTTGTTAAATTGTATGCAGTCGCCTAAAGAATCATCCCAATCAATCTAAAATTATTATATTTTTACCAAACAGCTTTCCAACTAATCTAGTGAAATTGTATTCATATCGCAATATATATAGAAAATAATCTATTTTCAATAAAAAAAAATTGCAATGTGTAATTTTTCTAGGAAATAGTTGAAGAAATTATAGCAATTAATGTTTCAAGTTGAGTTTCATCATTAAACTCTTCCTTTTTTGTGTTATGTTTTCTTAAAATGCATTATTTTAACGTTATGAAATGTACAAAAACTAAAAGAAAAGAAAATTGTTCAAATTTATGAATATACTTATAATAGTGAACATGGAATTAAGACCTCATAGGTTACACAATGTGAAAAACAGACAGTATTGTAAAATCGGATGATAGTAAACTGAATTGCGCAGAATGTCACAAAACTGGTACATTTTAAGGAAGAAATAAGACGGTTGATTGGGCCATGTGAAATGTGGGTTAAATTGTATTATGACTCGAGTACAAGTAAATGATTAAAAACAGGAATTTTCAGAGACTTATCAATTGCCTGTTAGTAAGATTTTTTCCTGCGCATAATGCTGACAGCAAATTTCAAGTTTGCCTGTATGTTGATTCATTATGCTATACGGGCATGTTTAAATGGCGTCATCTTGCCTTAGTCACTTCTCTTGCTTGTCTACATTTATCAAAGTTGCACAATCCCACTCGGATTGCAATTTTGCCTGTGTTTTTGCACATGCATGTCTTTTACAAACATTAGAGAAGTTGTTGCTTTAACACTAGTTGCTGAGCCCTTCTACTTGATGGACTTTTCTAACACATTCTACCTCTCTCTCTGCCTTTAGGCTGACCTCACAGGGATCAAATGGAAGTGTTTTGTGTGGCAGGGCCCCACCTCGTCCCCCATCCTCTTCCCAGTGACGGAGGAGGACCCCATCCTGTGCAGCTTCAGCCGCTGCCTGAAGGCAGACGTGCTGAGCGTTTGGCGGAGACACCAGACTCCAGGTCGACGGGAGCTCTGGATCTTCTGGTGGGGGGATGACCCCAATTTTGCAGAGCTCGTCCACCATGACCTATCATGTAAGTCTGCTTTTTTGTTAAACTGATACTAATCATAATGTATATTGGAAAACGAATGTGTGTAGTGATCATGTTTTTGACATAGTTTTTGCCAGGGGTTAAACTGGACTCTCATTTCTCATTGCAAAATCAGTGGTTAGACTGGAGGTGTTTCCAGACATTAGTCATAGGCTGGTTATTGACATTGCAGTTGTTGAGGTTTGCTAACTGCATTAATTGAAATTGCGTCAATGCAAAAGTGTTAAAGGGTTTTACAAGACTTTATTTCTGTAGCTAGACTTTTTATATTTTCCTATAGAATTTATGGTGAAATCTGCATTAACATGCAAGGCCATGTTCAATAAATAAACAGTTGTTCTTGCATGTAAGATAGAAGTATGATTACTAAAGTTACCGTGACTATTTTTGTTGTGTGGCTTGGATGTCTTTTTTTTTTTTTGTAAGATGACGTTATTCAGTCTGAGGAATACAGAACATCTGTTTCTCATCCACCTTTTATTGCTGTTAGAGCATGATCAATACATGGTCAATGGAGAGCTAAGTGGGGTTAATTTTCTGGTTCTTGGGAATATTTGTTCTCTTACAAAATCTTTGTTTCTTTTGAGAGGCCTGAACCAGAGCTAAATGCAGGGATTAACACTAAATCTAAATTTTGAGCTTGTTACAATCGCATGACCTATCAGATATTGCTGTTTTTAATAATGATAACTTGTCTGTCCTTGCAAATTTATGAGATGATAGTTTTTGTTTTCTAATGTTAAATTTAAACTTTTTTTTATCTATACAAATTATTTTTTTTTTATTTCTGTTCATGTGAAAAGGTAAGACATGCCCATGAGAGCAAACCTTCCCTTTATATATATATTTCAAAACAAAACAACACCATTTATTCGAAATTGAAATCAACTCAAGACATCCTTGCTCACTGAATATGCTGGTTTCTGACTGTATATTTTTAATGGTGTATATTTTTTTCAAACATAATAAAAATGGCAAACAAACATCTAAACTAAATTCATTAGTAGGGCTGTACGATTAATCGAAAAAAGATCACTATCTCAATTTGACTCCCTATACGATTTTAATACAGCATCTATACAATTCAGCCAATTATATTTTCAAGTTCAGAAGAAAAGCATAGGCAGTCGCACAAGTCTTCACTGTGTTTTGTGTTGCTCAGCAACATGGATATGGTATAATTCACACAATGTCATTTCTGTTTTTATGTAATGACGTATTCAAGGCCGTCAAATCACACGTGAACTGACACATGGTTTGTTTACTACAAGGAGAACATGCGCCTGAACGATGTTTACTTTAGTGAACAGAACCTGCAAAGGCTGTGAATAACAAGTAATAAAGTTGTAAATGAACTTGTTGCACAGAGCGATTGTTTAGGTGCTGCGCGGGAAGTATGATTTGCATGTATATATATATATTTTTTTTTCTCAAAGTGACGGCAGCCATGACATGAACCGCACTTAGCAGTGAAAGTGACACCAAAACCATGTACATCATTACAATGAACATATCGCGTTTTAGAGTTCTGATTATGACAAGCATTTGATATGTTTTTTATTTTATAGAAAACACAAATGTTGTTGTGTTGTGCATGAGAATAAATGTTTAACAGTGTCAGTATAACTACTCTAGTCTATATATAATATTGAATATAATGTAAGAGGGAATCTGATAATGATACATGTCTAATTTTACCAGTAAAAAAGGCAGACATATGTCTCAAACAAAATAATTCAGCTCCAGAATTATCAATATTTATATGTTATCACTTTCCTTTGCATAACAACCAGGACAAATTTAAAGTCTATTCAAGTCCACCATTGCAAGTTTATACAAAATTTAGTTCCCAACATTAATTTACCAACAGTAGATGTACACGTTGGCCTAATAATATTATTGTTTTTTAAATAATATGTTTGTGTAATAACAGTAATAATAGCCTACTCATATTAACCTTTATTTTACATCTACAGAATCGTGAGAGAATCGTGTTCTTGATATTAAGCAAATTGATTCTAATTTTAGCCAGAATCGTGCAGCAATAAACCCTTATTGTGTTTTCTGTTTTTGATTTTGTTTACAGCAGCAGTTAGGAATGTGCATATAAATGTAATCGAGTCCTGATCTGTTCTCTGTGTTGCACAGGTAATGAGGATGGTTCGTGGGAGAGCGGCTTGACCTACGAGTGCCGAACGCTGCTTTTCAAAGCCATCCATAACCTGCTGGAGCGCTGCCTCATGAACCGATCCTTCGTTCGCATCGGCAAGTGGTTCGTCAAACCCTACGAAAAGGATGAGAAGCCCATCAACAAGAGGTAAAATACTTGTTGTACAAATCGATGATTGAAACTGTGGATGCTGTGCCCCTTGTTTACGTTACGGCGGCAACCTGGTGTGTTTTCATGCCCAGCGATGCGGATGCATGCCGTAAGCTGCAGCATTTAACAGCATGATCCTCATTGTTTGTCACAGTAGACGAGTGACATCAGGCGGCTGGCATTCTTGTGTGAGGAAGAACCCCGTTCTGGAAGCCAGCGATTCTGACATGTAACCTCATGGGATTTCTTGTTTGTTTGCATCAGTTTTTTTTCCAGAGCGTGTCGTCATCTCTGTGAAGGATCTAAATTAAAGTATTCAGATAATGTAGGGAGGGGTGAAAGACGAGGTCCGTCTAATTGTGTGTCTGATTTGCATAGATGTCATTGGCACCCTCAGGGCAGAGGTGTTGTGGTGTGTGTGTCGGTGGGAGCATTGGCTTCCTGTAGAGTTCTGTGCATACAGTGAACTTGTGTCAGTTAGGGATGCAGAAGCTGGAAAGCATAGCTGCTTCCTCTGTCTAAGTTTTAATGAAGAGCTTACTCTTCTCACAAAACACTGACTATGCGGTTTCACACTAGGTAGGTCAACAGGAACCACCATTTCACTTTCACTTGTTCAGCTCTGCCTAAACTTGAAAAATTGTTAGAAAACTCTGTTAGAAATGTTAGAGTTCCTCCTATTAAGAATCAGTACTCATTTTCTGTTGCTTTTTTAGTTGTTGCTGAAGGGTTTGAATGCTGTTTTCTTGAGCACTCGATTTACACCCCACCATTCCAAAATGTGTGAATTCTAAGATTTTAAAAATTTTCTGTTTATCAAAACCATGTCAATTTCACTAATATAGGTAACAGTATTTTCGAGCATTCATTAACAAAGTGATGTCAATACTATAATATACATTAGTCAACAGTTGAAGTGGATCAAAAGAGCTTTTCAAAATTGTCCATAGAAAAGAATCTGCCCTGCAAGCATTCTTGTTTTTAAAAGATCTAAACATGGTCGTCTTGGCTAAAACAAAGCTAAGATTGGGCTGTCCGTAAAAATCTAAAATTAGACATCGAAGAATAGGCCAAACTAGACTAGTAATCAAATAAACAGAAACAAATGACTAGGCATATAAAGTCTGTCTATTTGATGACAAGTCTAGTTTTGGGCTATTTTTATTCGATTGTGATACGATGTGCTGCCGCTTTCCAGGTGCATCTAGTTAAAACATCTCAACTTCTCAGAATGCCTGGAGCGCACTGCAAGTCACGTGACAAGAACTGACCAATAAGCTTTATAATTTGTTTTGATTATACACATTTCAGTAGACTATAAACCTCTGACAAACACAGCACACCCAAGCACTGCAGTGCTTTTTAGTTTTCTCCATAAATAAAACTTGTATCAGAGCTGCAGCAATGAGCTGCAGTTTGTCATCCTGTGAGAAAACTGTTGATTGTCACAGAGCAACAACAAAAGAGCGTAAGTGCAAAGCTTGTTGAAAATGGTGAAGTGACATGCTCACGCTTTCCACATGCTTGTAGACGTAATATGTGAACGGCTCCTAATACACTAAAATTGATCAAAACCATATGGCTAGCATATACGATAAAATACTAATGTATTTTTCCATCATTGTAGTGAATTGTGTGTGTGTGTAGGCTGCTAGTCAGTTTGAGTTTTTGAAAGAATTTTTTTTTTTTACAATTTAAAAATACAATTTTATACTTTAATATTTTATTTTATGTATTAGGGCAGTTCAATTTCCTCCAACCATCAGAAATGTGCTGATTAGAATTTTTTTTTTCTAAATGTAAAGTTAAGAATTCTTATAAAATAGTACTTTTTGTAATAAAGGTTCATGATTAATTGTGACCTTGATTCAAGCCCCTGTGCCATCCTTGACTCCAAATGGTGCAATTTGCATATGTTTATTAAACCTTTGATCACAGTCGTGCATTCCAATTTGGGATTGACCCAGAGGGAGTAGTCGTCAGTTATGGTGAAGAAATGGCTTCAGCCTTGAGTCTTGTCAGCCAGTATTGTTATTTTTATTCTTAGCTACAAACATAAGTGTTAGTATCTGAAATAAAAACGTAAAGCAATCAAAATCATTTTAAAAAAACTACTTCACACTTCAAGTGAACGTTTAAATTTAGATAACTCTGTTGTCTACCTAAATTCAAAAGCAGATTAAACAATCAAACCAAGTTTATTTACTTTTCTAATAATCATTAGATCAATCTGTTATCAAACTAATCATTTGTTGTAGCAGTTCAAAAATATTTTTATTATCACTTTTGAATTTATTCATCATTACTGAATAAAAGTCCTATCAAACAGTGTAATGTTTTTTTGAATGGTAGTCTGTATAGGGCTCTGCATTAGCTTTGCAGCTCCATATCTTTGTTTGGGCATTGTAGTGGTTTTTCTGGTGTGTGACGCATTGACACTCCTAAGATCTCACCAGACTTGAGGAATGCAGAACATGAGGCTTCCTCATTTCTTTTCTCCTTTTTTTTTTGCTCTCCTCCGTGCCTGGCACTGTACTAGGTGATGCTGTCGCTGTATTGCAGGCACTGTTGGCTTAAAGGCAGGAAGTTGTGGTTCTCTGGGATGGGTTTTTCTGAATGAGAATGGACTAAAGTGTTTAGGGATGCAAAGAGAAAACTCACACCGTAAATTTCTGGAAGAACATTTTAAATGGCATAAAATAGATTGTAATTGTCTAGTATAAAATGAATGTAGTGGAGCAAAACTAAAGTGAAGAGATTAAATTTGAATTAATGATGGCATAATTCTGTATATCCAGACCTAAATTGAGGTTGACAATTCACAGTGTAACAGAAGTAGAAAAATCTCTCTTTAGTTCTCTATCATTATGTATCCAGGTGAAAAAACATCTGTTGTGCATTGTTTTGAAAGATTTTATGTGAACTTGCAAAGTTGCAATCGAGTTTTAACTGACTAAAGGACTGGAAAAGTCAAGAACAATCATCAGCATAAAGACACAGTTGTGAAATGTTAATATTACTAATTAATATGAATAAGCATAAAATAATGAACACATGAATGGGGGAGATTAATGAATTTAGAAAATGGGGGGGAATTCATTTCATACCAACTTGTGAAGGAGCCACAAGTCAATGTAGGATTACAGTGTATTAAAAAAGTCCTGTTGACAAATCCACCTATCAAAAAAAGTTGCTGTCACCATGGAAACAGAAATGGCGGCAGAAGAGCTCATAATCAACTGCCCACTCTCATGAGGCATGGCAGATGATGTTTTCCCACAGTATATAAAGACTCATTTTTGTGTTTTTCAAATAAACCTTTTCTGATATACTTTTTGTACTGTATATATTACTGATTAATAACCTATTGATTATATGATTTGTGCGATTAAAATAATTAATTCTTTTTTTTTCCTTTTAAATAAAATCCATATGGATAAAATAAATGAAAAAAAATCTGAACTAAAGTCCCGTTCATTCCAGGAATAACAATAGCAATATTATCATCCACAACAATTGGCAACATTAGCATTGATTATTGTGCAGTTTTGTGACTATAATAACTCAAGCTTTGTAAAACAGAATCATTTCGGTTTGGCTGTCAGTGTTCATTAACTGGAGAAGAGTCACTGTGAAAATGATTATACAGCTGTGAAAAAAAGTTAAAAGACCATTTAAAAAGTATTTTCGAAAAAGATAAAAGCCATAGTTGGCACATGGTGACCTTTGATCTGGCCCACCATTCCATCTGAGAAGAGAAGGAGAATGATGGGGAACGTTGGAAAGAATGCGTTTAATAGAGATCATCATTTTAAACTTAATGTTTATTATTTTTTTGTTTGTTTGTTTTATTGTTGAGATGCATAAAAGCAAACAGAAATTAAATGTTTCAATTAAAATTTGTAAATGTATCAGATTTTTACTAATACAAATACTGTTGAGGGATAGAGGACAATCCACAAAACATTGCATGCAACTAAAGCTTAATGTATTCCGCATTGAACTTTTTTTTGTTTTTACTGTATTAAGTTGATCTTATATAAATTCATTATTATTCTGCATTATTTCATTCATAAAGATATGTTTTAAAAAATTTTTATAATTCGGAAAATAGATTAGAAATTACTCTTAGCAACTTTAATGTAAATGCAGTTTGGTGTTTTTACAGCCCTCAATCAACTTTGGTTTTTTGCCCTTGATAAGAAAAACTTTCAGCACCCTTGATTTAAATGATAATATTTTGTATTGATTACTTTAAATTGTTATTAATAATTTGTTCAATAGCTATATATTGATATGAATACTGCAATTCTATAATGATTTTTTTGTATGCTTTGCACAGTGGGGTAAATAAGTATTCAACACATCACCATTTTTCTCAGAAAACATATTTCTGAAGGTGCTGTTGATTTGAAATTTTCACCAGATGTCGGTAACAACCAAAAAAATGCATATATGCAGAGAAAACTATAATGGTTTACAAATTACATTGTGTAATAAAATGAAATGACGAAGGAAAAAGTTGTAGAAAGTAGGGCTGGGCGATATTGCAAAAATAAAATATCATGATGTCATGCATCATGTTATTCGATATTGATAATTATTGAATACTTTTTAACAATACATTTAGGCATATTTAGATTTTTTTAACCACTTTATTTTAATTCACCAACAGTACTAAGGCAAATATTTTTAATAGGCAAAAAATATTTCAACAAAATATCTGACATCTCTTTATAATAAAATAAACAAAATTGTGAAATCGCCACCTTGGCGACATCCTTTTTTATTTTCAATCTCCTCACTGCTGTGTTATTTTCACATGTGTTGTTGTTCTGACCTGAAGTGACAAGCACGAGTGAGTGCTTTCTTTCACTGTTTTCTATAGCGTCTCTTGTAACTAGGGAATCGTTTTCTCAGTGGATGACAAACGGACAAATCATTGCTATCCATGCAAGTTTTTTGAAGAAAAGTAAAAAGCACTCGTGTTTGGATGCACTTTGTTTGTCTGAATTAGTTAACTTGCTGTTATTACTCAAATGTGTATATTCCATTCAAAGTGTGAAGCCGATTGGTTAGTCCTACTTGCAGGAATCGTGGTGCATTTGGAAAAGTTCAGATATTTTTCAACTAAGCGTACCTGAAAAGCCAAGACAGCAGCTAAAATCTCTCTGTAGTTCCTCAGCAACCCTTTGCCTTTTGTCATTGTAAATTAATATTTGCTGCTTCAGTCCAACATCTACATTATCAGGATGATGAAGATGAAACCAGAGTGGATATTTCAGTAAGACAATGATCCAAAAAACAGCTCAGGAAACTCTTAAATGCTATCAGAGAAAGAAAATTTAGCTGTAGAATGGCCCAACCAAGCCCCCGACTTCATCCAATAGAAAATACCAATTAAAAATCAGATTCGATAGACGAGACCCACAGAACCATCAAGATTTTAACACTGTTGAAGAAAAATCACACCTGAGCAATGCATGTGACTTAATTCTCCATATGAGAGACGTCTTTAAGCTGCCATCACCAAAAAAGCCTTTTATATAAGGTATTAACACACTTTAGTAGTTCAGTACATTATCCTTGTGTCATTCCATTGTTACTACACAACTTTTTTTTTCCATTTTTTTTTTCTTTTTTGTCATTTTTTTATGTTTGTATTGTTTAGGTTTTCCCAAATTCTGGTTCAATTCCATGTCAACAGCTCCTTTAGAATATTTTTCCAAGTAAGAAAAACAAGACACAATGAATAATCCCCCCACCTCCCCGTATATAATTTTATTATTATCAAAATCTTTCTTTGTGTGAAAGGGGCTCAATGCTTCTGAAGGAAAAGTGAGTTCAGTAGATGTTTCCCGAAAGTGTGAATTTGATCACTCATCATCAGCATGTTTGGTTACACTGTAACAGCTGTTTACTCTAGCCTGCGGGTCACACTCTCACAGGTGTCGGGTTATTAACTTTGAGAATGCGTGCTACAAAGCAAGTCAAAGTGTGAGGCGTTCATTATGTGTTCAAACGTTTAATCAAGCACTTTTAAAACCCAGAAGTCAAGAGAGATGACTCTGAACTTGTAACAGTATACCCACATATCTAATGTTCTAGTATTTCCTAACCCTTTACTCCTGGTCAAGGTTCAGTCAGTAACTGGGCACTAAGCCTGTAAACACTGCGAAGAGCTCAGCTGTCATCACACCGTTCGCTAAAAGACCTCCAGGACGTGTGCTACTTTCTCCTAAGCTCTAACTTGTGAATAATCCTCCATATGTGTGTATCTCTCTCTCTACAGTGAACACCTGTCCTGCTCCTTCACGTTCTTCGTGCATGGAGACAGTAACGTGTGCACCAGTGTGGAGATTAACCAGCACCAGCCTGTTTACCTGTTGAGTGAGGAGCACCTGACTTTGGCTCAGCAGAGCAGCAGCTCAGTTCAAGGTAGGAGCATTGCTGTACTAGTCATCAAGTCTGTCACATATGCGGTTGGAAGGTCCACCTTCCTCCAGAACTTCAGACATAGGATATTGTGCAGTGTTTAAGTATGCATAAGTTATTGGTGCTTTATTGGTTGACACATTAACAGTGTTTGTGCAAGAAGCTAGAAGTACTTGGATTTTACTGTTTACAATTTCAGTACTTGAAATCAGCAGTTTCTGAAGCACAATTTTTAAAACACACAATCAAATTTTGTTGTTGTTTTACTGGACATTTTAAATGTGTTTAGATTATGTGTCACATTCATTAGATTAAATGTGTTTAGATTTTAGAAGTGTGAGCAGATGCTTGCTTAAAGTTTGATTTCTCAAAAATATGAAATGCCGCAATTATTTTTTAAGTTTTTGGTTATAAATTTTGCTTAAGCACCAAAACCATCATATTAGACTATAAGGCCGTACTCACACTATGTACAGTGGCCTTGAACCTGGGGTCCGTTCTTCGTACATGGATTACTCAGTTAGCTGGATTTGGATATTGACGATTTGACACGATCCAGGATCGTTTCGTTCTTCAAAGCCGATCCGAGAGTTGTTGTCATAGCAACAGTTCTGCTAGGTCAAACCTGATCGGGAGCAGGTTCAATTCATATGAACCGGATTAGATCGGCTTTGTTCAAGCAAAGATAATACAGAAAGTATGTTCCGAATTCTGATATTTTCTTACAGTAGTAGTTATATACACTTGGGAAAATGGTACATGTTTTTTAACTATATATATAAAGTTATATTCATTAATAAAAAAAATAAAGTTATACATATTAATAAAACGTATGCAATCTGCACCCTCGAAATGAAAATACAAAGACTGCCACCTGGGGGTGCAAAGAGAAAACTTATTGATATGAACTTTTTAGATCGCTTTAGTACAAATTGTGTATAATAGAAATGCACAATATGTGACTATTTTAAAGCAATAATACATTTCAGCAGTCATAAACATGTTTTGATAGTTAATATGCCAGTGATTTGATGCTTCACAAAAGTTGCAGACGCCTTTACCAATATGAAAATGCTTTTGTAAACAACCAGTTATTCTTTACAACAATTAAAAAACGGCTACTATAATAAAGAAAATCTTTTCTAAATGTAGAACTAAATACATTTATTTGCATGGAAATACATGATGAATACTCTTAACACATGAAAGTGTAAAGCCTGTAGCTCACAACAAATGTTGAAGGTTATTGCGTGTCATATTTAACAAGCCGTTTACTGCTAATTTGATGTAATTTTGCTCACATGGATAATTGAATATTAATCAGATGATGTCATTACGCTGCTGTGCCGTCAGCCAATCGTTGCATTGCTGATCATGATTTCGAGGATCGATAGATCTGTCCTTCACAACACACGCGGCGATCTCAGGTCAGTTTATCCAGACATTCTAATCTGATTCTTAGATCATTTAAGCAAGGTACGAAGAACGGATCCCAGGCCAAAACACGCTTGTAAAAACACGCCCCTCTCGTCTCCCTTGATGGCCCGCATTCACATTAAATTTGTACCTGGGCATGATTACGTCATCAATTCTGCGCCGTTCAGTAAGCACTCTCGCTCAGCGCAGTGGACATTTGTTTAGTTATATCGTTCGGTATGCAGTGACAAGCAGTCAAATATTTCGCCAAACAGATCTGCCACTTTTGCCGCTCATAAACAATCATAAAGTCCTTGTGCTGCAGGAATTAAGAGGTTGCTGAAGGTGTGCAGCTGTCGTGCATTGAGGGGTTTGCGTTCATTGAACAGTAAGAATGATTAATAAATCCATATGAAACGGTCCCTTATAAGTCACATCTCGCTTTCAGTTTCGGTCTTTGGCGCGATTTGCACTCACACACAAGTGTACCGTTCCAAAGCCCAAGTGAACCTCGCACCATGAGCCCGATTCAGTGCACTCTCACTTCTCAAATGATCCGGGAAACGGGCCTGGGCACGGTTGGGATATGATAGTGCGAGTACACCCTAAGTCTAGTTTTGCCATTTGCAGTTATTTGATCAAAATATATTAAAGTACATAACACATTTTTTTTTATCTAATAGTGGTTCATAATATTCCTGTTTTTACACAATTTTTCATCAAGTAAATGCAACTTCAGTGAGCATACAAGACTAAAACATGAAAAACACCTAATGCTTACTATTAAATAGCAGTTTTCTTTTTGAAATTATTCTGCTGAATTAGATGATTGTTTTATGGCCATTACACACCATGGCTCTTTTCCACTGATTGGTATGGTACATTTCAGTATGCTTTTATGGCCGTTTCCACTGCCAAAGGGTACCAAAAAGTAAACTGTACCATAACACTTTTTGGGTACCCTTTGCAAAGGGTACCTAGCACAACAAAAAGGTACCAAAAGGCAGAGCTAGATGTGCAGCTGATCGCTGTTGGTTTATAGAGATACCTCACTTGCTCATGGACAAGTAGAAGAATTTTTAAACTCACTGCCGAGACATTATACCATTATAATACATACATATAATTATACATATAATATATACATGGAACTTGTCGCCGTCTTGATGTACAGCCACAAAGCCGGAATGAGCAAACTCTGTGGTGTCCTGTTGTTTTAAGAGTCCGTCTAAAAAGCGCAAGTGGTTTTGTCTATATTTGAAATGACAAGCCTCTTGAGCTGATGATAATAACGTGCCCTTGACTATTGAAATGCTTCTGACATTCGATTCTTTCAGAAACGGACAAAAGTGAGTGTGAAGCATGAAAAAACAAAGGAGAAGCCAGAAAAACAAAAGAACAAATGATTCTTTCAGCAATCCAAAACATAAACTAGCTGCCATGTTTAAATTTTCTCATCGCCTTTTGGACTATTATGAACTCAGAATTACTTCCTAACAAGAGGCTACATGTGCTGGTGAAGATTACAGATACAGATCAGAGGTTTCCACTGACTGGGCTATATTTTTTGTTGTTTTTGAACCCAAATAAAGACTAAATGTTTGCTGTGTGTAGTTTTTCTGTAATTGGTAACGTATCGTAGACTAAAGGGCTGTATGAGTTCATATTGGTTGCGTTTATTTATATATTTTATATAATCACAGACGTTACAGTAGGCTATTTTGCATTACTGATCTGCAGTTTCGCCATATCATATAATGTTCATAGAAAGCATTTATGTGTATAAAGCATCGGTTTTGTGAGAACTGCTTCTCATATGATATGTGAACGACCTGTACAGCTTTACTTTAACATTTCCACAAATCACAATGACTGAAACTTTTTGTCGTAGACCATGTACCATTGGCACCCTTTTGGCAGTGGAAACGCAAGCCTGAAGAGGTGACCTGTACCAATGCTATTCCTCTCAGTGGAAACGAGCCAAAAGAGCTTGGTTTGGTATGGTCCACATGTTGCCGTCAGGTTAACATCAGATCTCATTGACTGGTGTGACTGGCTCTTCAACGAATCAGACGTAATGAAGTAACATAGCAAGTAAACAAACCAAGTCAAATTATTTATTTTATTTATGACATTGTCACAACGTTGGTCAAGCTAATTATTTCACATTTCTTGTTTGTAAAAGCTAAATACAATTAAAAAGTTAACATAATTTTTTGTTCTGTTTTTATTTTTTTTTTAAATTTGCAAGAGCCTGGAGGTAATATAGACTTTGCAAATTCAGTTTGCAGACATTTTTAGGTACACACATACATTGTGTGCGTTCTTTGCAGTTTTTTCCTGGCTTTTTAATATTGTCCATATCGATATCGGAATTATATTGTATCGACCGAAATTAAGAAATTTATTTTGATATAAATTTTTGTCATATCGTCCAGCCCTACCTTAAATACAATGCTCTTTCTTAAAGGCTGTGACAAAACCAAACAAACGATGCAAGGAGCCACTTCTGGTGCAGCAGCACTAATCTGAAGTTCCGAGTCTTTCAGCTGATGATTTGGTTCAATAAAATTTCGAATCCACGGCAGTAAAATATCAAAATATCTTATGCTGAGGAATATTATAGAATATAAAAATGCTTTAATATTAACTTCTCCTTTGTGGTTCAAGTGCAAAAGTATGGGTGGTCTTATTGTCTGTGTCCCACTCCCTCTCCACTTATTGGACTGCTGGGTAAAAAGTAACAGGGATTAGACTTAAACTCTCTCAGCTACAAAAATCCTCTACAAAAAGTCACATTAAACAAACTTATAAAACAATACAGTGCATCAATTCATTGTAGGTATTTTGCCAAGATGACCACAAGTTTTACGCAGCATTTACACCTGGTTGAGAGCAGGTGTACATTTTCAGGGTGTCCGCAGGGTCTTAAAACGTATTAAAAGTTAATAAATCAATTATGAGAAAATTAAGGACCTTAAAAAGTATTTAAAAGTCTTAATCCCATTTTTATTAGGTCTTAAATTTTGTTCAACGATGTCCAAATTGTTTGACTCCAAAAAGCTTTGGCGTGTCCAGCCAAGCTTCTTTGTACAAGTGATGTCAAGTAATTTGCAACTAACGCGGGAAGGTGAAGCTCTCCACATATAGCGAAACCGTAGAGCAGGGCTATGCAATTGGCGGCTGGAGGACGTGATAACCGTGAAACCATGATTATCCTTCAGACTATATAATCGTACAACCTAAATCGATAATTGTTGCATCCATAGTTGTTCAAAACATGCAGTTCAAAACATCACATATGTTGTAGAAGAAGCCTACTTAAGCAATTCACTTCTTATGTCCTTTGAAAATACAACATTTGAATGTTTGTAAAAAAAAAATATATATATATATATAAATAATATAATAAAACAATATAATATATAATATATTATATATATATATATATATATATATATATATATATATATATATATATATATATATATATATATATATATATATATACACAAATATATACAAATATATACAAAGTTACAATACAAAGTCAAAAATACAACATATGCTCTTGTTTCATCAATCCT